CTTTTGCATAGTTCCCCTTGTGAAATGTAGCAAAACGCAGCGGTAGACTTTGACCCCGTAACCGGGAAGTCACAGAATTGCTAGTGCTAAGCAAGATAATCAGGAAGAAGTAGCTTAACACAACTTAGGCGAATTCCAGCTGGTGCTTCCCACCAGTCCTGGTGACCCCAGAGCAGCGACCTGCGTCATCTCTTTCTCGAAGGTGCCTCGGTAGCTCCCAGGAGCTCCCATTTGTTCACTAGGCTACCGAGCTACTGTCAGAATAAAGCTCCCAGCTGTCAGGGTTTCGTCATTGGTGGTGACGACGGTTGCATCCGAGCGCCTCGTACAGCATGGTGGCAACATCAGACACTTAGCAGTGCCAGCAGACAACTCATTGGAGAAATGTGTTGGAGAGATGGTCTTATGCAGCTTCTTGACTTAGGTCTACGAGAAAAGCGATGAGCCCAAGGCTGGCATTTAAGTCCTGTATATCCAGAGATTGCGCTGTTCCTTGACTGCTCACGCAGCGGTGGTTGCTTCCTGCGCTTGTGATGGTGGAAGCGGGCTACAGGCAGGCAATAGGCGGGCTAGAGGCAGTTAACTGGAAAGCTTTCAGTGTTTTCCGTTTCTGTTTTGCAGACTTTCTAGGGTTGTCGATCCACGCAGAGGACAGGCCTTTGTTGTTTGTCGCATTTGTTGAGCAGTCTGCGCAGGAGGTTTACCGCAACACAAAGATGCTGCAGGCGCGGCTGGCTTGACAACTGCTGCGGAGGAAGGAAAGACATATCTCAGGTAGAAGGCGGTGCTGGCGCCGTTCGCAGCCTGGCTTTAAGCCCTTCTGAGGAGCACCTCGCCACAGATTACTTCTGATGCCTGGTCTTTGTCATGCTTGTATGTCGTGTCCTTTGTTGGGCTTTTCCACATGATTGACTCGAATTGATCAGAAAACGAGGCTTCTAGCTGTAACGACATCAACATCGCAGCTGTACCAGCTGTCACTGCTGGGGCAGGACACGTCCAATGAACCAGCAAGCCGTGGGTTGAGTGTGCTTAACGCGGCTGCAGGACCTACTGAAGGCAGACGAATCTCCTGCTTTTGATCCTGTCCTGACTCATTTTCATACAGGTGCCCCTGAGAAATCTTATACTGGTAGTTATTCTGTCTGTGAAGCCGATTCTGAAGGTCCCAAACTGCCAGCACTCTTCCAAGGTGCCATTTTGGGCATGGATGTCTGCATCAGAAAGCCCCTGGTAGTAACCTGCGGAGTTGACAAGTCAGCTCGAGTGTGGAACTACGTTGAGAAGACGTGCGCCCTCTGCAAATGGTTTAATGAAGAGGCGTACAGCATCGCCTTTCATCCGTCTGGATTCCATTTGATTATCGGTCAGTCCGATAAACTTCGGCTAATGAACCTCTTGATGGAGGACATGAAGACCTACAAGGATATACCCATCAAACAGTGCCGGGAGTGTCGCTTCAGCAATGGAGGGCAATACTTTGCTGCAGTGAACACCAACGCCACGAATGCCATTCAGGTGTACAAGACTTACACCTGTGAGCCAATCGAGACGTTGCGAGGCCACAACAACAAAGTCCGGTCTGTAGCGTGGACGCAGGACGACTCCATGCTTGTCTCAACCGGCGCCGACGGGGCTGTTTACGAGTACTATGTTCAGGCAGAAACAATCCCAGGCCGAGAAGGAAGACGTGCGGCTTTCAAGCACGAGTCATGCCAAACACTTTGCCCAGCTTTTAGCTGCAGGTCTTTGGAGCAGCTAAGGTTGGCAATGACTTTGTCCAAAAAGGTACCTCCTTCTCGAGTGTCATCGTCCACACAGATTTGGCCACGGGAGCCAACACGATGTAGCTCGTTCGAGCATGTTGACCAGATGTTGACAATGTACAGTCTTGTGTTTGCATGATGGGCAGCCATGAGATCCATCCGCGCTGAACTCGGGAAATGGCTTTGGGGTTGCTTCTGCTAAGGTACGTCGTGGGAAGCGACCAGATGCTGCGGGAAGTCTTTCAAGGCACGACGCAGAATGTGGTGAAAGCGAACACGACCTTGGGCCAAATTGTGTTGCTTGGCCGCAATGTCTGATGATTTTCAAAGCTCCTGCATGAATCCGACCCACTAGAATCAACTTGATAGAGCAAGGTTGGCTAACTCAGCCAAGAGCCTCTTTGCTGCGGTGGCAGAGCCAGATGCCCCTGGCCCTATTCGCTGCTACAAGTTCCCGTTGGATGGTGACCTGCCTGATGGAGTATTAAACTTCCAAGGAACAGGCGGCTTTTCTAAATATTCCTGGATCGGCTCAGGTTACTACAACGAGTTCTCAGCACATGCCGCTCCGGCCACCCGCATCCGCATAACTTTCGATGACTACTTCCTCTTCTCAACTGCGGAGGATTTCAGAGCTAATTCAAGCGCTGAAGTTTCTTGTGCATTGCCCAGATGTCTCGTACAGATCAGACCGTGCTGTGCGGAAGGCAAGCTTGAGTTCACGCTAGGACGGAACATTATTTGTCTTCGATGTGAAGCGGAAGGATCGAAACGTTTCAAAACGAGACAAGGCCACCTGATGCAGATGCAGTTCTGTGGGTTCTGAAACATCTAGGGATGCGCATACGTTGCTTGAGCAGATTTGAGCAGGAAAGTGCTCTACCACCTTCGGATGAGATTCTAGTGACCCGGACATTCTTGGATGACAAGCAAGCGCAGCTTGTGGAGTTTGAGTCACGTGGAAGCAACCCAGCATAGGGACCTAAGATCAGCATGCACTCTCGTGGTCAATCTCCAGCGCAGGCGACAGGTAGACGAGCTTTCGAACCAGCAGGAGTTCCAATTGAGGTTCGGAACTACTGAGTAGATGAGTAACGGAAGATCCATCTGTATGTGTGCGTGACAGGCATCGTGAGAGCTATCACAAAGAAGAGATGGTGGAACTTGATGAGCGCTATACGGCTGAGATTGACCAGGAGCGTCAAAAGTACGAGATGCTCCGCGAGGAGAAGAATGATGCGGAGATGGAGGCCGAGGAGAACATCAAAAGCTTGCAGGAGCATCATGCAAAGCAGGACCAGGAGCTGGAGAGCTCTTTCCAGCACAAGATGATGATCGAGGTTGACAAGTACCAAAAGCTTGCAGCAGAGCGCGAGGAAATCCATCGGAAGTGGGAAGAGGAGCACCAGCGGATCATTGCAGAGCACCAAAAGAAGGTGAATGATATGCAAAGCGACTTCGAGGCCAAGGAGGCTGCAGACCGGGACAACATCAAGCGTATCTTGAAGGAGAAAAGCCTTGCTGAGGACGTCCATGCGGAGACCATGCGGCAGCTGGAGCAGGACACGGACCGTGAGATTGAGGAGCTGAAAGAGGACAAGGAAACCCGCCTGAAGGCGGAGCGGGACGACAAGGTGAGGCTCCGAGGCCAAGCAGGGATTCACAAACGAAATCACGAGGAGCTGAAGCGCCAAATGCTGCTCAAGGAGGATGAGCTCATCAAGTACATGGAGGAGGCGCGGAAGAAGGACGAGAAGATTCAGCAGCTGAACAAAGAGCGAGACTACAACGCGAAGGAGATCAGACAAAGGGACACTACCATTGGAGACAAGGAGGGTAAGATCTATGAGCTGAAGAAGCAGAATCAGGAGCTCGAGAAGTTCAAATTCGTTCTGGACTACAAAATCCGAGAACTGAAGGCGCAGATTGATCCCAAGAATGATAAGATCGCCGAAATGAAAAAGGAAATACAGGCGATGGATGCGGATCTTGAAGATTATCACAAGAAGAACACGCAACTGCAGGTCAACATCCAGCAGCTCAAGAACAAGCACAACACACTGCAAGATGACATTGTTTCGCAGCGCAAGAAGATGACAGACTGTCAGACTGTGATCAAGCGCTTCAAGACAGACTTGCATGAGTGTGTACAATTTATTCAGGAGCCCCGTCTGCTGAAGGAGTCGGTTTCGGCGCTCTATAAGAAATATGTGCCCAATGGTGTAAAGAAGCAGGAGCTGGACAGCGACATCCAGAGAGAGTACAACCGCCAGCGGGACTACTTGGAGAAGTCTGTTGAGAATCTCAAGAAGAAGCTGCTCAAAGACTCGGATGTACACCGACAGGACAACACCAGGGTGTTGCAGGAGAATGTGCAGCTCATAATCGAGATTAACAATCTCAGACGGGAGATTGACTATCTCAAGCGTGAGAGGCAGCAGCAGCGACTCCACGTTTCCAAGCTGAAAAGCACTACCAAATCCAGCACAGCATCAGGCAAGTGTTGAGCAAAGCTTGGTTGTCAGCCTCTGCAAGCATGATGCTTTGGGGTTCCCGTGGGTACCATAGATGTGCAGATGTGCTGCAGTCAGTCCGAAGCCTGTCGGGGTTGTTGTGTGCAGGCAAGTCTGAGCCAGATCTGCAAGCTCTCACGCGTGAGATCGACGACAATAAGACGCAGATCGACGAGCTGAAAAGAAAATTGGAGGAGCAGCGCACGCTCCGACCAACAGCTCTGGCAGATGCAGCCTCTGCCGAAACGTAGTGTTGTTCACAGAAGCCAGCTATCCTCACCAGACAGCTAGACCTTAGCATACTTAAGTAGCATCGATTTTTTTCATCGGACTCAGGTATCACCTGCCTCAACTAGTTTCACAACAGTTTCACTCGAAGCGCTTGAAAAACTTGCACTTCGATTCGAAAGAGGCAGACAGTAAAACCATGGGATTACATTGATAGTTTCCACCTCATGTGGTTGGCTGAGTGTAGGGAGTGTTCATCCACAGAGGCTGTGTCTAGATTGCTGCTCAGACTGAAGTACTCCGACGCATTTAGCTGCACATTCCATCCACAAACTGACAGTGTGATTCTGCCATGAAGCAGTAAGCGTTGAAACAAGTCTGAAATAAGTCTGCGACCAGTCGAGAGCGCGAGAACGCTAGCTGCCCATGACCTCGATGGCATCACTTCCTGCCTCGGCCTCGCAGGTCCCCTGCCTGCACGAATGAGCCTGATGTTGGGCTAATCTGTCTCAACAGCATACGCCGCAGTGCTCCACATTCAAAGTAGCATTGTAGTTACTCTAGGGGAGCCCTTTCATCTTGTCCACAGTTGGTGTTGCCTCCAAGATCTCGCCTAAGCACAGCGTTGTGCAGAAGGCTGAGGCTGAGCATGAGCATGAGCAGATGTAACGCAGACGGACGGAACTGCATGCTGAAGTTTGAAGGTTGCTTTGAGCAGCCGGTCCCTGGGTCCTTCGCCTGGCCAAAGCGAGCCGAAGCTAGAGTCTTCGAGGAGCTACACATTCCATGCACTTCTCTGAGCATCTGCAAAATTTGGAGTGTTTACAGGACACTGCCAGACGCCCACCAGCTGTACAGCTACGGGCAGCGCCAGGCCGGCCAAGCCAAGCCCTGCAGTCCTTGTGCCTTTGGCAGAACTTATTTTGCTGGTTGCAGGTCGGCTACGCGAATGAAGTGGCTGTGCCTCAATACAACCAAGGCAGCGACATCTTCAGGGCGATTCCTTGGGTGATCTGACATGCGCTCGCAGGTGTCGTGGTAGTGCAAGACTTTGTTGGTCTACCACCGCAAGTGGGTCACCAGATCGTCCACAGCGATGAGGCATGGGATGAGTGTCTGATGCTGATGCCTGACCAGATACGAGTGGAAGGCGATACAGAACAGCAGCTGGAGTCACATCGGCCCCATGCTGCGGATCCATGATGGAAATTACTGGAGCTCGAAGGCAGCTGTATGCTAGCACGTGCTGGGCAACTCGCACACCGTCAGGCGTCTACCGACGTTGCTGACGAACTCAGGGGTGCACAGTGGCATCAGGCTGTGGACATGCGCGGCTTGCAGAACGCCATGGCTCAAAGAGGCCTTGAGTAGCAGCCAGAAACTGCACCTGGTCCATGATGTTGGTAAATTTTTGATTGAGCAGGTATGTCGCGTGCCAAGCAAGCAGAAGCGCACTTTCAACGATTGCTGCCTGTTGCACTGGTTGGCCAGACAGTTTATGGAATGGAGGTTGTGGGAGCATGAAGATCTGCATAGCTTAGCATCACTTTTCTTCGGCTTGGCTCCTGGCGAAGGGTATGCTTGTGGTGGCACATTCATTCACTTGCGAGTTGGGTGCCCCCCCCACCAAAATTGAATTGATAATGTTTTTTCAAGCTGCATACATTTGCAGCGATAACGGGGGCACTGCAGCAAATCTGGCAACCCTCTCAACACCACGTTGGTTGGGAGTTCTGACAGTACCAGACTATGCCAATTCTCAGTCCCCCTAAATTCGATTTTACTGAGAGGCTTCTGGCTGGCAAGCGTGTCTAAGGCACCAGCTCCGAACCAGCTCCAACGCTTGATCAAGCCTGGTGGTAATGCGAGCAGAAAAAGCCGTTGCAAACTTGCCATGATTTGCCATGTTTTCAGATCATCGGTTTGGGAACAGCCGGGTTTATGCCCACTTGGGGCTGCAAGCAGTGCAAGGAGCCTGGTTCGCGGCGGTACCAACCTCGGAGCAGCCGAGCAGCCAGGGTGTTCCGAAAGCGGATGGACTGGATGCCCTGAAGGCGCCGCAAGGATGCGGATGCAAGGCCAGTGCCAGGGCCCTGAGCCATTGCAGCCATTGCTGTGCAAGACCAAAAACTGTTCACAAAAGACTCTAAAGGTCGAGGCGTTTGCAGCAACTGCCTTGGAGTGTGGGAGTGCCTCTCGCTGAGACTTTGAAGGATGCTTGGGCCTTGCAAGCAAACGCTGGATTCACTAGATGTGTTCAGGTTTCGACAAGGCGGCGATGCAGTTTTAGAGGGCAAAGGACCCTTCTGAGAGCAGCCCGTGCAGCGGTGCAAGAGCATCGGGAACAAAATCTCAAAAAAACGTGGCAAGACTTGTGTAGTTCCAACCCTCTTTCGTCCTTCCCAACGTCCGAATGGTACTAGACCCTAAGGCCATCCTTCCGCTGATGCACTAAACTCTAGCACGTCTCTACCTCCGCGTCTCCCGCCGTCGCTTCAAATCAAATGCGTATGACCTCCAGCTAAAGGTGTTGAGGCCTGTGTTCTGAGTCCGTGGCGAGGGAACAGGGCAAGGGAAGCTTGGCTCGAGATCTTTTCTTGCCTTCATTTCTTTGGGCAAAATTCCATATTCAATGCTGCAGTAATTCTCGCTGTCCGCTCAGCTTCTGGACACCTTTAACTCACAAACTGCGAGAAACTCGGGCTTGGCGGATACTCTTGTTGAGCATATTCATTGGAAGAGACGCAGAAGCGCAGCATCTGCTGCACATCTTCAATCAGCGATGGCAGATGATGAGCTGGCCACCGAAGAGGCCGACCTTGTTTGTGATGCTTTCGTCGCAGCAGTGCTTGAGGGCATGGCGCCTCAGGCTGGCAAGACTCTCCCATCCCTGTCTCCGCTGCGAGCCTCCGACCAGCCCACAGCGGGTGACTTTGACGAAGACGCCTGGCAAAGACATGTCCCACTTGTGGTTGAGCACGTCTTGGGTGGTCAACGGTCGATGGCTCATGGCGTCATTTGGCGATAAGTGGCCAGAAAGTTTCTGGCCGAATCTCGCCAAGGGAATCGACGTCCCGAAGCTGGAGGAACTGCTCAAGGACGCCGCGCATAGGGTTGCCCTGGGTGGAAGCGCTGGGATGCCAGAGTGCAGGACTACATCTTTTCACAAAGCATCGGGACACTGAACCCGCCCAAGTTCGGCAAAGTCCTGGCAGCAAAAATCAGGAGGTAGGGCTCCAGTTTGCCGCAGTTCCACCCTCTGATTTTTTTCCCGTGAGAGTGTTGATGTTGATGCTTGATTTCGCTCAGATAAAACACTGTCATGCTACGAAGTGAAGATTGTCCAGGGAAGGCAAAGAACATCTTTGCGTCCTCTACACCGTGGAATCCAGTGGGCCAGCCGACAGGCGCAGACAGACGACCTGAGCAACAGTCGTCTAATCCAGGGATGCAAAGCAGACAATGTGAACATGCAGTAGACACCCTTCAATTTCTTTGCGTGCTGCCGGCAAATTCAGTAGCGCTACAGGAGATTCATTGGCAAGGAGGTATTTTAGAGTCCTGTTGGTCACAATGCTGTCTTAGACAGCGATGAGAAAGCTGCCCAGTGTACTGAATTGTAAGTTTTAGGCCAGAATTCGAGCTGATCAATTGTAATTGCCAAACGCGGAAGGCCATCAGAGCAGTCAGAACCGTACATTTGATTTCAAGCGATAATTTTCAGAAGGTAGACTGCAGCAACGGGGGATTGGGCATGCTTGGTCATGACTTGTTATAGGGAGCTCTGTAAGGTCTCGAAACAGCTGCAGCGCACACCTGGTCCCAGAAGAGATCAAATCACGCGCAGTTTCAACCCCAGGGTCCCGACAGGGCCTCTATGTTTGCTGAACAAGTTGGAATCCAAGCACCTGTTCTTTCGCTTCATTGGATAGGCGGCCATACGAAGCTGCCTTTGGCGAACCGGAAGTTTTCGAAGAAGTGGTCTACATCACAGACTACATGAGCATCTCCACAGCACCACCAAGATGAGGCAATGATGAGGCAATCATCAGCTGCTCAGTTCTTTTAGCAGTGGAGTCGATCAGGTTTTTTTACTTGGTATCTCGCTGAGCTCTAGGCCTGGCAGTCTGAGCATTTTGTACAAGCTCCGTTGGCCGAGATCCATTGGAACCACCCAAACGGGAAGTCCTGGATCTTTCGGTCTCGCTTTCCCACATGCGAATCGAACAGATGCGTGCGTTCAGTTGCCCACGCCATCTTCACCTTGCTCCAAGAAAAGCTGGAAGCCTGGGCATGTCGAGGTTCATGGTCGGGCTAGTTGGGTACGGTTGGTGTGAACAATTGCGCATGATTAGGTCGTGCAGGATAGGATCACCCAAGCCATGCTCAGCCAGAAGTGACGCAGCATGGTTTGCTTGTCACTACTTGTCCATTCCAGGTTAGGAGGGTGATGCTCAATCCGTACGTTACCTTTTGTGTGACCCTTGGCATTCCTCCAGAGCCATTTGGGACAAGATCGCTGCTCCTCCTCACTTCGAAGCTGTTGGCCGTAGTCTTTCAGGACTTCAGTGTGAGACTTTTTCCAACTGTTGCTTGAGTGTTGGCTGCGATAGATTTGGTGCCCATGTCTGGAGGATGCCTGAGACGATGGAAATCAGCGATGCCGCCAAGTCTGGGGATGGGACCACGCAAAATGCGCGGCCCTTGATTGTTGCTGCAGAAGTGGGCTGTAATGCTCTGGAGCCTGTGGTTGTGCTTGACCCAGGTGGGCATTAAGATGACGGGCCAATTCCAGTGTCCGCAGCCTACAGCAAGCATGCAATTGGATGCAAGACAGGAGGATGACGCGGTTGAGCATGCCAGTCACTTGTCAACATGATTGAGGTCCGGAGTGCAGGCGGGCGCGTTGTAGACTCTAGAGCTGCTCTAGAGGATTGCTGCCGCTCGATCACATCATTCCTGACGACATCCAGGCAAAAGTTTGATTCGGAGAAGGCGAAGCAGCTGCACTGGAAGTTCATCCATGACCCGAACAGGCTTCAAATGGCTGACGTGTTGCGGAGACGTAGGTTTACATGCTCCAAGCTGTCAGGCATCAGGAGGACTGAGAGCACTAGCAAGGATGTCCGAGCGGCTCCGGCAGAACCTTTGAAGCTGTCGAAGTTTTGACCCCCAACTTGCTAGCAAGGCGCTAGGGGAAGAGCTCGTCCATCTTTTTTAAGTCGTGGAGGGTATGGATGCTTGCCCACCGAAAGGGTGGTGCATGGCAGCATCCCTTGTGGAACTACTGAGCCCAGCGTGGTGCTCACCGCCGCTTGCTATCTTGAAGCCTGAAACGCGCGGAACAAAGGCAGTTTAGGTCCAAGGACTCGACAGGTTTCGAGGGACGTTAGATTGCCAGGGCTTCAGTAGATGGTTGCATGGCCTCAAATCTGGATCTGGGAGGAAACCAACAAGGCCAAATGTCAGGTCTCTTTCAACAAATCTAGTGTTACATTTGCCCGCGTCCTGCAATATACTCAGCCGAAGTTTGGGCAGGATTCTTGCCTGCAGCCTCCAGCAGCTCCCACTACCATCAGCAGAAGTAGCACCCATCCAGTCTTGCGTGTTGTTGTAGACCTGAGATGCGTTGCGAGCCATCCAGTTCGCAGAGCGATCCGGCCTCCAACAGCGACGAGCTTTCATAACAATGAGTGTTGGTTCACGGGCATTTCCCACCAGTCTATTGATGAAGCAATTGACATGCTGCCATTTGGTTTGAGGCAGCTGCAGTTGCCTACACGGGTCGTCCTGATGCAGTGCAGCATGCAGAGATGATGGGTCCGCATGGTGCGCAGCTTACTGCAGCTTGAGAGAGAGGGAGAGGGGTCTAGTCTAGCATGTTTGTCTGCGTGGCCCACATATGGTCGGCAATCGAGTCCCGGGGCAGTGTCGTGCGCGTCACCTACCTGCTTGGGGCTGTGCCCCAGCCCTCTCCATGCGGGGAGGGTAGAGCAGTGAGAAGAAGAAGAAGGGGAGAGAGATTCTGGCATGCTGATGCTCAAGTGACAGGGTCAAAAAGTGTTCACATGGATAGCCGGCTCTTGTTGAGATCTTGTGAGTTCGGCAATGAGAACTGAGCGTTATGATGTGCTGCCTTCGGAGCCTGACGACAAGGGTCCACAGCGATGTCTTCCGGCCATTGTTCTGATTCTGTGTTCTGCAATGCCACCGGTTGAAGCGCAAAGTGGCCAAAAAGTTGCATGGTAGTGCTTGCTAGCGCACAATCACGAAAGTCAATGTGGAACACTATGGCATGAGCTGGTGTGCAAAGCACTCACATGTCATCGTGTTATAATATTTTGTAGATTTCACCATGGACATAGTGACGACAGGGTGGTGCTTTCGGACCAGGGGAAAAACGGACTCCACGAAGATGGCCAAGCTGTGCATGACTTGCACATACTTGCACCAACCCAATCGTCACCTTCATTCGCCAGATGGATCCAGATGGACATTACCGAGGCTGACACTGAAAATGATGGACGCATTTGCAAGTATGCCGTTCAAAGTCCTGGATTCGCAGACGTTGCTTTGAACTTAATTGGCGATTTGGCTGCTGTTCGCTTCCCACGTCAAGCTATTTATTGCGTAGGATTGGGAAAGCTGATGATGCGTGCGTCGCCGTTGCAAAGAAGCTGCTGTTTGCACTTTTTCCTGACGGGGAGCAGTTCTTTGTCAAAAGAAGTGACTCCGATGGTTAGCAGAGGCGTGAAGAGTCTGATGACACAGCGCAGCGCATCCCTCATCCAATTCCACAAGAATTGATGCAGATCATACTTGTTGTGACATCGTTGGGATCATGCTTGGAGCCTCACGGCATTTCCCTAGATGTATCGCGTCGTGCGTGCCGTGAAGGGACGCAAGATTTCAGCCAGCAGGCCAGAATAGCAGTGTTATTAGTCCAATCCGGATCTGGCTTCCAACTGCAGCCAATTGCTAGAAATATTTGCGTGCGAAATTGGTAGAGTTGAGCTCAACCTTGTGTCAGACACGTTGCAGGACACCGGCCGCACGGCCCACTGTGTACGCGAAAAGATTCGCAAAAGTTGTGACTCCTTCATCAGAAGATTCAGAACTCTTCAGGGTACCAGCCTGGTCATGCAAGTGCCCTGGCCAACGACTGGCACCCTTGCGCAATTTGTAAATTTCATTCCAATCACCTGTGTGCACGAGCAGTCCAACCAAGCTGTCCTATCACGCTGTACTGACTGCTTAATTTGTAACTTCAACGGCTTTTCAATGACCAATTTTTTGCACTGTCTCTCCCAAATACGGCGGCGATCAAGCAATGCCTATGTTGTTCCGCTGATGTGAGGACGTTTAGGTTTTTGCAACCCTATGGGGTAAACATTTGTATGCGGCATCATGCAAGCGTTTGGTCAGTTGCGAGAGCAAAGATTGTCTGCTGTATGTGGTGCAGTCACGTGTGCCAGGCATTCGGCCAAACATGCAAATTGATTCTGGAACATCGGTTCGTTCAACAAGCTTGTAAGGTTGACTGATGTTGACTGGGCCTCCGTTGCTCGGTACTTGCGTGTGGAATTTGCACCGTGAACTCTGCATTCACGGGAGAGTGATGGGGTGCCAATGGCATGTCCATGATGGACACGAATACAGCTGCGAAATGCATGCCAGCCAATCTTGGTGCAACAACTGAAGATCAAGCTGTCCAACATCACTAGCCATTTTGGATTAAAGTTTGGCTCAAGCTCAAGCGAGAGCCCCAAAGGCTTGGCCCCTCCAACTCGCATGGGTCGCTCTGGTATGGCCGGTCATGGCCAGTTTCGTCAAAATGGTGTCAGCATGGCTACTTGGCTGCGCACTGACCTTCGCGGCGTCCTTGCCCGCCACGTGCTGGGAGAGCATTGCCCACGTGGCATTGAGGTGGGGCGGTGCTACGCCCCATTCTTCACGCCAAGGTTCGCGCCGCTCCGGCTGGCATGGGGCTGGCTCCTGGTTGGAGTGCTTTGTTCGTTTTTGGCACGCCACATTGCAAGCAGAGCCCTCCCCGCCCCGAATCGCCCGAAGCGGTGGCAGACAGCGGTGGAGTGTGGTGGGTGGTTTGCAATGCGCGGCCGGGGCGCTGGCCAACCAGGCGCGCCAGTCGCCGGTGTCGTTCTTGTGCCGGCTCCTGCAACAAGGGTTGATGCCGCCCAACGCCAAACGAGCGTCGCAGCCACGGCAACACGAAGCCGTGCACACGGCGGGCTTGCCGCCTGGGCAAACGCGCGCGTCGCCGCTGGTATGCGAGGCGGCGCCAGCAATGGAAACCACAGCAACATGTGCGCCATGTTTCGTCGAGCTGCATTGCCTGGCGTGTCAGTGATTCGGCTCCAGTTTCTAGCCGTGCAGGACCAGCGTGCCCCTGAGCAGAGGTATATCAGATCCAGCGGCTGCTGCATTCAGGCGCCCTCCTGCATGGATGCCCCCGTGAATTGCAAGCCATGCCATGGGCTGCCACAACCAGCCGCGGCAAGGGGAAAGAGGGCGGCATCGGGGGTGACAAAGGGGCTGGCAGAGGTGGTTACAAGGGCGACGACAGGCGACGAGGCGATCATGCGACTGGTCATGACCGTCTCTCAGATCTCCTTTGCCATGCCTCCAAGCACGCGATTGTGTCTGTATTTCTGTGTGTTTGGCTTGCAGACGCCACGGAGGGCTGATGCTGCATGTACACTGTCTGTCTCTGCCTGCACCCATCAGCCTCAAGTTCTGGTCAGCTTGCAGTGTTTTCTGACTCCCTGCCATCCCCTGTCACCGCCTGGATTTCGGCCTTTCTGCCTCTGGGCTTTGCCCTGTGCACTCTGTCCCTGGCCCCGCTTGCCTTGCACGCCTGGACTTCCTGCCTTGGACTTTCCCGTGTTGGCCTGGAGCTCGGCTCCTCTGCCCGTGTTGCAGTCTGCATCTCTGTCCTGTCATGTTTAATCACGATGGGCCGGTGATGCAGCCTGTCTCCTTCTGGCTGTAGGCCCGTAGTTCTGCAAGTTCAGTCGGTCCCTGTTTGGGTCTGACTGATGGTGACTGAGCTGTCACTGTCAACTTTTCTGCCACTGGCCTAACACCACTAGAGAAAAAAGGGGGGAGCGCGTCTGCCGCTGTTCTGTTTTTCTGTGTCTGAAACCTTACGCTGACGTAACGGACTAGTCTGCCTGTCAAACGGCCGCGTTGGAGAGGCGGCCCAGCAAGTTTAACCTCTCTGATGCGTATGCCTGCATAAAGGCATTTGGCTGGGCGCGCCGCATTTCTGCGGCCGTCCTGCCGAAGGCGCGCGTGCGCCCGCCTACTGTGGCGGGTTTTCGGGCAAAATTTTCCCACTCAATCATTATGATTCATTATGTTCCCGTGCCTGTTCGTCGGTTGCGATGCTTATCCCGAAGACCTGGAAATGAATAAGGCAAAAGGTGAACAGTCAGGCATACTTGTGCGACTGCGACGGCAACAACGGAAACAATTGAATCAAGTGCCAGTACGTGCCCGCTCCAAGGCGCACACAATCTTTTCGTTACCGCGTGCTGCGACGTTTGCAAGCTTCTCGTTGCCCGAGTGCTGGCGCAGCACTTCACGGCCGTGTTCCGACGACTTCGTCCGAAACCGGCACATCGATGTTCACGTCTGCCAATAAACGCGCTTTGCAAGCAACCCGAGCACCAGCTTCCTGGCAAACGCGCAAGCGGCTCGGGGGCCAAGGACCCGACAAGCGCATGCGCGAGGCGCATGCCGCCGTCGCAGCAACAATAACAAGGGAACCCAGAATTGCGGCGTGGACACCGTCAGCCCGGGGAGTTGGGAACACGGTGAAAGCACATGCAGCGTGGGGCCG